TTAAAAAATTAACATATAAATTGGAAGGATTGGGGAAAAAAAAAAGTTGTTAATATTTTTATTTTTTTCCAAAAATTTCATTTAAAAAGAAAATTTGTAGCCGGAGCAATATTATTTTTAAAAAATTCAAATTTTTATATAAAAAATTTGTTATTTTAAATAGGAGATGAAAAAATTATTAAATTTAAAAACCAGGAAAGGGAAAGCTTTAAAGGTAAATATCATGGGATGACCGTCTATTGTCATCCATATAACCACCAGAGAGGAGTCCAAGTTTGAGCTGCCTTTGCTTTCCCCCCTTAAAACCAAAAATCAACCATTTCAAACAATTTGTTGATAATTACCCAAAAAAATTATTTTTAAAAGGTAAAAAAAAATAGACCGAGAGAAAGAGGGAAAATTTGACAAAATAATAATTTTCATTTAAAAAAAAAAAAGAACTATGAAGTTAATAATAAAAGATCAGATATTATTTAAAAGTTTGTAAAAGAAATTGATAAAAAAAAAAGAATGAAGCTTATAAATGTAAACCATAAATGATCACCTATCAAGCACCATCCAAAAACAACAAGAGGAGGTCAAGTCGGTTTGCCTTTGCTTTATTGATTACCTGTTCCTTTCCTTTTCAGCAAAAAATTCATCCCCCTATTTTTTATTTGTGAATCCTTCTGTTTTTCCACATAAACACAAAATCAATCATTCGATAATTGTTGATAAGTACCCAAAAAAAGTGTTCTTTTTAAGGGGCAAAAAATAGAACAAAAGAGAGAAAAAATTTGACAAAATAATAATTTTAAAATAATAGAACTACGAGATTAACAGTAAAAAATTATATATTAATTGAAAGTTTGTAATAGAAATTGACAAAAAAAAAATTAATAAATTAAAAAAAAGGAAGCTTTTAAATGTAAATACCATGAACGATCATCTATCAAACATCATCCGAAAACCACAAGAGGGGATCAAATCGGGCTGCCTTGCCTTCCTTGGTTACCTGTTTCTTTCTTTTTCATCAAAAAATTCATCTCCCTATTTTTCATTTTGGTGGATCCCTTTGTTTTCCCCCCATAAGCACAAAATCAACTATTCAACAATTGTTGATAAGAACCCAAACAAAATTTATGTGCTTAACGCGGATCAAGTCTTTGGGTAACACCCATATAGTTCAGGAGATGGAGGGTGAACCGGTTTGGTTCAAGACCACAAACAAAACCGGTTAGAACCAGTCGGTTCAAACGGAAAAACATAAGTGACAAACAAAAGAAAGAGCAAAAGAATTCAAATAAGTGACAAACAATACAAGAAAATATTCTAATCGTGTGACCAAGTACTAGAAGATAAGATAAGTCACACAGGTCTGCATTCTAAACTATGATGTCTCTTGCTCTTGACATTTAAATGTTACCCTACATCCTTCAGCACCTTGTTCAGCTACAAAGTCTCAAAGAAACAAGGTGGCACTTCCATTATCGTGCAATTAATGGATATCGTCTTGGGTTAGCAAATAAACTAAGGTTCAGATCTAAATGCACAACTAAACTTGTTTCCTACATTTTTCCTAAACTCATATTAATCTCTAACACTTAAATCAACTAGTCACCACATATCTACGTTAAATCAGTATTCCAGCAACCTAAAACACAAGATTTATGTGCTTACTGCGGGTCGGAGCTTTGAGTTTCCCGAAACACCCAATTGGTTTCTGTGTGGAGGGTGAACCAGTTCGATTCAAGATCACAAACAAAATCGATTAGGACCAGTCCGTTCAAGCAGAAAAAAAGGAGAGAAAAATCGTTACCGCAAATAGCAGCGAGGAGGCTTGGGTAGTGGCGCTCACTCAATCCCGCCACCAGTCTAGTTCGGTTCTCCGCTTCCCCGACCCACACTCACCCATCTGCAGCGGTGCTAGCACCAATACCGCATCGTAGGCACTCGACCTCGTCACCACACGCTCATGCGGTCGGAACCGCATCCCGACCTTCCCAAGTCGTACACGCATTTATGACCGAAGCCGCTCAGCCTCACCCCGCACTCGAATTTCGCACACACACCGCTAGTTTTGCGATTTCCGCAAGTCTGTTCCCACACTCGCAAGCAGCATCGACAACGTGCATGCAATACCTTCTTCATCCTTCGGTAGCGGCTCAAGCTGCTCGCGTCTCCCTCCTTCGCAGCCAAGCCGCTCTCTCTTCTCCTCTCCTTGGCTTGCGGTTTCTCCCACAAGTATTCCTTTTCTCATGGAAATCGACACCGTGCGATCTACCTCTACCTGCTTCCCCTTCGATCTCGTTAGGCTTCCCTTCTGGTTGAGATCGCCACTATGCGATCTCGACCATCCCCTTTCATAGGCAAGATCATCATTGCACGATCAAATGGTCTTGTGGGAAACCATCGGTTTTGCAGTTTTTCGCAAGTCCATTTCCACACTCGCACGTGGCAGCGACAGTGCACATGCGATACCTTCCTTTTTCGATCACGGATCAAGCCGCTCGTCTCTCCCTTGTTTGCAGCAAAGTTACTCACTCTTGTCCTCTCCTTGGCTTGCAGTTTTCACCGCAAGCCTTCCTTTTCTCATGGAGATCGCCACCATGCAATCTCTGGCAGCCCGCGGCCTCACCTCTCACAAATGAGAGGAAGGGTCCTAATTGGGCTCCTTAAATCGGTCACTTCACGGCCGTCGGATCTCTACTGCAAGATCTTTCCACTTGTCCAAGGGAACTTCCATCTTTTCATGTCCGAAAGAAAATCTCGGGCGCCCGATTGTGATTCCTTAAATCGTGATCATTTGATGAAGGGTTTCATTAAGAAGAGCCGAAAGAGAAAGAATGGGAAGGGAGCAAAAAGCTCTTCTACTTGGTAAGATTGCTAGCAGTCAAATGCTTTTAAAGTAGAACAGAAAGACAAAGTTCAGAAGCTAAACTAATATAGCAGAAAATTAACCAAGCACCGGCACAAAAAGAGAGAGATTCTGCCACCTTGACAAAGAAGAAAACTGTCAGAGAAGGGAAATTAGAAAACATTTGTACCCAAGATTCATACACATCTAAGGATCCTGCTATAGCACAAACTTAAACATCAAAATGTAGAAAAGTAAAGATTCTAATCTGTAACTAGAGTTGTTAAAGAAAGAAATTTGGGAGCATATCTACTGGCCATCACACAATTTTATGGTACACAACATTTTTCATAAACACACACCAAAAGGCTTGCCTTACTGTCAGCAGCAAACAAATGTTTTAGCCACACCAGATGCATAACCTATATGCTAAAAAGCCTGGCAGGATAAAAATCTTGAGATATACCTAAGGCAACCAAAATGTTCCAAATTTCAAAGCTAGTAATAAGCACATAATTGGGGATGACTTGTACAGAAGGGATAATAAATCGTCACCCAAAAAGTTTTACAAGAACAAGAAGGAAAATACCAATAATAATAAAAATATAATTGATACAAAGCACAGAAGAATACCCAAGTGCAAAATTCTAGCACCACAAAAGAAATTTTCTAGATAGGGAATAACTTGGAGATACCTTTTGGCCACAGAAGTTGTAATAACAGCAGGGACATCTCTGTAAAATAATCAAGGGCCCGCAATTACTCCAGTCAGCTCAATCAACTGAAATGCAGTACACAGTCAATTACAGTCCATTTACATCAAAGAAACAAGTAAAGAAAATATCAGAACAACACATCTAACCATTCTCCCATTTCTTCGTGATTGCATAGGGCATATATCAGAAAGAAAGAATTCAAATTATTGACAAACAATGCGGGAAAGTATTCTAATCGTGTGGCCTAGTACTAGAATATGAGGTAAGTCACATTGGTCTGCATTCTAAAACATGATGTCCTCATTCTTGGTATTTAAATGTTGCCCTCCATCCTTCACCACCTTGC